ATGTTATTCTCATGCCTCGCAGTCGATACAAGTTTGCAACATCATTATGTATTTAAGAGCAAATGTTTCATTGAATTCTCTGATATGAACATGAACTTCTATTAACCGAGCGAAAAATCATGGTTGGTTAGGGAAGATATAGATAGATTCCTATTATATGAACGACCTGGTTATATGAACTAACTTGTCCCCCGATAGGCTATCAGAACACTCGTACCCGCTTGCAATGTCATAAGAGATTGACGAACATCCGTCGCAATTTCTATTGAACTTCGGTTGCCATCGAGTAAATTTCTCCATTTCGTTGGGAAGAAATGTGTGGCGTAATATTGTAATCACTTTATCATTGTATTATGAAATTGTCGTACTATCATAACCTTCGACTTTGTTGTTAAAAATGACATACGTTTCATAAATACTATAAATAATCAATATTTGAATCAATATTTGAAATTTATGTGAAGGAAAAGATAAAAAGCTGTTCAAGAATTATTGTATTGAATATAGTATAATCAATAAGAATAAAGAAATTTATACGAAGAATATCAAATTTGTACACTTGGTGGCAAAGTGGAATATATATGGTGGAATATGGCTATATATGTATGTATATAGCCATAGAATTAATCAGGCTCGAAAATATACATATTTTATTTTATACATTATATAATATTTTAGAATGAAGTAAACAAGAATATTTTATAGACTACCATCATAAACAAAATTGAAGGTGTTCCCACTTTAAGTTCTCTCTTTAAATTGATGAAGGTATCTATATGCGTACAAGACGTATACGACCCTAAAAAGATCAATCGATGTGCCTTGATAATGCTTTAATTTACAACCTCACTACATCCAATACTCTTATCAAGAGTATGTACATATTTAATATATTATATAGAGGAAAAAGCAACTGTGTATATAAGGATGAAAGATAAAATCGAGCTTTTGAAATGGAAATATAATCTATCCTTGTTCCATGGAAATAGAGTTTGTTCAAGACAATGAACACCAGAAACGGTAGTTTTATGCGGGTACCACGGAGTATTAATTTACTTCCAACGAGAAATGCGTGCGACGAATATCCTCAGTAAAACCATCACAATTTCCATAGCGATATTAGCGCTCTCTGTTTACTAATCACTAATTATATGTAGCCGCTCATTCTGCGAAAATTGAATCCACGGTTCAAAGTTAGTCACCGAGTAACAATTACTATTTTTCATGCAATGTTTTCTAGTGGAGCTCATTAGTGATCCAATTAATTGTACAACGTGTAGCGATAAAAATTTGCATAGTATTTCTCCTTTTCTGGCTCCTTCCTCCTTCTTTCCTCTTCACAACCTAACCTGTGTCCTATCCTACTTTACTCTCTCAATTTCCAGTTTTAGTAACAGTTAGCTAATAGTTGAATTTATATCGTTCGATCTTCTGGTCTTTGTTTCTTTTAGGAAATTAATTAAGACGTGGCATTCATTACCGGGAGACATTTGATCGTCACGACTCGAGCTGTTCTGTATTCATAATTTCTTTTTTATGGAATACCGAAGAATATACATTTTTCTTTCTTTTTTTCTTAACTTTCTCATTGTTTATCAATTGCGTTTTTTCCGTACATGTTTATGATATACATACGTACTGATATAAGTACAACAAAAGATATTAATTCACTTAATTGGTACTTTTAGGTTATGGATGACCCATAGATTCTTGGGTTAAATTATTCAATTTATAGTTATTCAAGTGAGGGTAGGTCCTCTTACATGGTAATTAAAAACTAATTGAGTAAAAATTAAAATTAAATAAACTAGTCAGTTGAGGATAAAGATGGTCCATTTTAGAGAATCGCTCTATCTTCTTTTCTAGGTTACCTTTATTTATCGTCTTTATCTATATTTTATCTGTAATGCACCCTTGCTACAAACTTGTCACTCATAATTTGATAACTCAGGTTATCATTTGATGAGCAAATTTCTTTTGGGTTACAAACTAAAAATTACAGAAACGACGTCCTATTCTATTTTACGAGTATTATTCTTATTAGTAATAAATTGAAATAGAAAAATATTCAAAGACAATTGTTTCCACTTTTTGAGAAACTAATATATTTGAGCTATGTCACAAAGCGAAGGCAAAGAGTAATCAATTTGTTACTTCTAGATGTATTGGTTGAAATAGGTGTTTTCGACTTTCGTAAACCGTTCGTTGCCGATACGCACGATGAAAAGGGAAAATTATATAGGAATACATAGTGTCCCAGTTTTATCGCTTTTTAAAACGCGATACCATGAATATTTTATCGACGATACCGGTGAACTGTTACGTTCAAAATTAACTTTCCCCCGGTAAAATAAAGGCAAGGCCGTCAGTGCGTGTAAGCCGGTTATGTATTCGACGTTTATTGTCCGAACAATTTCGATTGATTGCACCGCAAAGTAGCTTCGTAATGAGATAAACATATCATTGTTTCATTGGCATTGATTGTCGAAATCGTTGACACAAATGGACAAGATTTCAGTAATTGCGGTGCAAATGTAAGAGACAAACGAACGTTTCCTCCTGTGGAAGGGTGACGAATTGCTTTTGGTATAATTTTCTCGCCCCCGCACTTCCCTATTAATTAACCTGACGATTTAACTCGTCCATGCATCTGTGTCAAACATCGGTTTACATACAGAGCGGGACACGTAAAATACGAGGGCCAAAATATTTTTGTGAATATTAAAGATACAAACCTAGAAATTTTAATCAAAATAAAAATAAAATGAAAAAAGCAATTATTCGATTTAATTTGTTTTTTGTGTATGAAAATATCAATCAGGTTTCAAGCTCACTTACCTGCTTTTTTTGAAATAGAACAGCATGTTTTAATCGGTTACATTTACTGAAAGTGTCTAACAAATAACTTCATCTAATATTTTATATTATAAGGCACATATGCAAATGAGGTTACAGGTTGATAATAAGATAACTATAAAATGAAAGTAGCAAAGAACCTTCTATCTTTACTAATCGAATAGTGTTTTATCTTAGTAATCTTCGTTGTTATGTTGAGCCTCTGTGTCAAACATATAATTGTAAGTTGTAAGCTCGGATTTTTATTGCTGTATCTTCTTAAGACGTCATTAGAGGCTTAACATCTCCATTTCATCCTAACAAATAAATCTCTAAAAAGTATTTAGTGGTCTTGATACCTTCTTGACGAAAACTTTCACGAATTAAAAAATACAAAGTAAACCAAACGATTAAGTCCCTAAAACATTCGATACGGACAACGTTTATTGAGAAATGCAAATGTTATGCTTTACGTATCTCAGCCTGTTCATGTACATGGTCAAGCATGTAATTATTCTACGCAATAAATTGGCATTTGTTGACGTGTAAAGCCATCGCCCTCCTCCGTATTTAATCGAATATTAAGACAGAAAACATTCGACGTTTATTTAACCGGTTCATTTAGTCCGGTTCTTCCGGTACAACGGCGCCCCGTTGATTTCAATAATTACGAGGAGAAGCCATTGAGGCTTGCAGCTTTGGCAATTAGTACTTCCCATGTTGTCGAGCGATTACAAAATTTACGAGGGACAAATGGGCGAAACTTTCCGACGATATGCAAACTACGGCCTTGTTTGACCCATGTTTTTAGACATAACTTATCGCTTGAAATAAAACGAGCAATTATCTTGTCAATAACAACGAAAGTTCCTGTAAAATAAAACATTGTTATTCGTTAGAATATTGTTTACACGTTGTTGGCCAATCATAATTATGCTCGTGCATCAACTTGTGCCATTATTATTAAAATATGTAATTTATGTTATACGTATAAGTAGTTATTACAGTATTATCTAAATTGTTGCATAGCATCTTATTGAAATAAGCAAAGATCTTTTAACGTTTTATGTTTTCTTCTATTTGAGGAAAATATAAATATTCTGTTTGTTACGTCTAACTTATAATACAATTTACAACGTACAAAATACTATGTTTTATGCAAAATTATTGGAATTCATTTACTCCGAAAATATCTATGTAGAAAGATAGTAAACACGTATGAAACTTATAAAAATGTATGCAATTACAATATTGTTTTAACAAATGGATTCGATCTGATTCACAAACGAAAGAAAAACTATGACTCGTGGTTTGATGTCTGCGAGAAACTTGTGATAGTAAAAACATTAGTTGTTCACATACGGGGTTCCAATCTCGCGGCAGTAGCGCGAACGAATTGACCCGTAAATTTTGAACGTGCCATACACGGACGAAAAAATAGCATTCGAATCGTGTGTTGTTAAAGGTCCGTGAGAAAACGAAAAAAGAAAGAATGTCGCCTGTCAAATTCGTGTTGGCACAGTGAAAATTGATTTGTGCGCGATTTTTCAACGAACGTCCGAATCTGTTTTCACGAAACTGACAGAAAAATAAGAACATCTTCGAAATCATGGTTTCTTCGAATTTTGTGTTAACTGCAAAAATTTTTGGCTGATTATCCTCGAAATATTTGATTGAAAATACTTTTCCTGTAAATGTTTGCTACTTTTCAATTTAAAGAGTGTTTCAAGAATGTTAGATAAAAATTTAGGTACAGGTTCTATGTGTTAAAAGAAAAGAAAAAGAAGTTCATATAATTGTCTTGGACAATAAATTTACTTATAAACTCAAGTTTGTATGAACCTTTTTCTTGCCTTTGATATATATAACGTGTATCTACATAGATAGGAATATTCCTGTCGACCATTTTTTAAAAACTCTATACATATATTTCAATATGGCGATATGTTGAAGTTTCTATAAGAAAACACGATGTTTCTTCCACTTCGATCCCATCATCCACTTCCGGTAGACGTGGCTTTTTTTCTTTTCGTTCAAGCCTATCCGACCTCGTTCCTCGATGCTCTGTCATATAATAATTAAAAGAGCGCTGATTAAAGGCAGAAGATTAACGAGGCGTTCAGCTTATCTTATTTTCTCACATTTCTTTCCTTTTTTGTGCGCAGAATGAAGCTGTGGTGGAGTTTGGCGCTGGTCGGTGTCGCCCTGTTGATGATCATCGTCACCACCAGAGCGGAATCTGATCTATGGGAGGAAGATGACAAGGAGGTTCTTGTACGAACTGTTCGTGGCACCAAAGAACGAGGTATATATTAAGTTTAATTAAGAATCTATATATACGTCACGTTGAAATAAGGTGAAACTGGTTCCGGAGATACATCTTTTTAATGTAATAAATTAAAAATGAGAAGAGAGAGAATCGAGGCTCCTCCAATTTCTTTATTTCTGACTTCGATTGAACTCCGGACTGGAAAGAAGAAAATTTAATAGTATATATTAGTCTAACATACCCTAACCCAAACCAATAACATTTAAATAAATTAAATAAGTAAATTAAATTGAGTAATATTAATTAAATCAAATCTAGCCCAAACCGATACCAATTCAAAATATGCATGAACTTTATATACGCGTAACCTTTGAAATAATGATCGTCGCGTCGTGAAATCAGTGTTTCAAAAGCCTCTTTTATTCAAAAGTCATATTTTATATAAAAAAAAAGAAAAAAAATGGAGGGGAAACAAATCCAGAAATAAGAAACCTTCAAGCGTTTTTCGACTTTGATCTTTCAAATACAACTTGGTTTTCTGGCCAAGATTTATTTACGTTCTTCGAAAAGTCTTCATTAAAGGTTCCTTTGTAAGATTATGTTTTAGAAGATCAACGGGTAGAATTGAAATCTTGCAAGTTCCGCGTAGGGTCCGTGTTACTTTCGTCAAGAGATGAAGAAACTTAATATCCGTTAAGTGTTTACAAGGTGTTCGAGTCAGGCTGTTTGTTCGCAGAGAGGTCGGTGGTGTAGTATCATGGCGTCGGTAACCGGGTCCCCTTTAAATTTCGCTTCCACATGGAAAGAAGTCACGTCCACTGTGTATGCGCATAGTTACTCTTTGAAACCTCCTCGCAGGTATTTTATCTTCAGAAAAGCTCAGAGTTCGTTACCAAGTTTTAGGTTAGATGATGTCGGCTATGTTTGTTAGAATTAGATCGTCTTTACCGAACTTTAAATGTTTAGACGGTTGTATCAGTGTAAAATAGAAGATTGTATTATATACAGTAACTTACGGTAAGATTGAAAGCTGTGGTAACATTATTATCCTAATCTTAGGTACCCAAATAATCACTCAAGTACTTAGGGTATCTTAAGTATTAGGTATGTATATATGGTTTAGGTGTGTATATGTCGGAGATGAAAGAACACCGGAGCCTTTGGAATTTTGGATAATCCCGCAACATTGTAACCTAGAGTCTACTATAGCTGTAATTGAACAATTGTGATTATTCAATCCGATTGTAATTGTTCGAGAGTTGTGATAGTGAGCTTGGGCTCGAGGTGACAGTCAGTCGCTGAACGTAGCCGCGGTCACGGGATGAACGCTTTGTCTAACAAAGGCATGGAATAATTCTATAGTATATAGTAATTCATAGTATAGGCCTGTATTTTTTTTGTACGAGTACGTAGGGAACCCGTAACGGATGAATCTCTGAATTTTCGTAAAGAAAGATTAATCGACTTTTATCACTACCACGTACCTCATTGTCAACTTCATTAACATCGATCTCGTTTTCAGCGGTTTTATTACAGGCATTAATTATTTTTGTTTTACACATAGCGAGGCTATTTTGTGTAATATTACGTCTAAATCTTGGCTTAAAATTTAACGAGCAATCGCGATATCGTATTGTTAAATAACTATCAGCGAGGACATGAAAAGTTTATCTCTAACCACCGACACCTGCAACGGACAAGATTTGAGCGATACGTTTAGTACCAATATTTCTTATTCCTCGCATTACTACTATATCAATCGTTCTTTTGCCAGAGATTCTCAAGACTACGGATTCTTTAATTAGCGAACAGTCGGCTTCGAAATCGGGGTAAAATGGAAACGACT